AATTGAATGTAGAAACAAACTCACACACACACAAAAACCATGAACACAACACAGATATTACACTAACACTGAATCAAAGGAAGGGGAGAGGGTGTTGGGGACATGAGAAGGGGAGGGGAGGGGGGATGGAAGAAAGGGGGAAGTGACAGGGAGGGGTAGGGGTAGGGGAAATCAATGCCAACAAAACAGATTGATACTTATTTCACAGAGAGGTCATGTTTGGCAGCAGGCTGTATTTGTACCGATTAGTTCTGCACCTGACCGTTGATAGGCTATTCGAATGTCTTAAGTTGCTACATGTATTCCAGCAGGTGGAAGCCAGTCCCTGTGCTTGATTTGATTCAATCCTACAGAATCTTCCAAACCCAAGATAGGAGTTAGAAAGAAGTGGGTGGGTTTAGACCAATCTCCGTAGTGAATACATGTAATTGTAAGTTAGCCACGGTTATTATTCAATTCAGCATGTTTGGAGTGAATATACCGGTGTATGATTCTGTCTTCAATACCAAAACCACCAACGTACTGGTAGCATTGGTCTGTGGGCTGCCCTGGCCAAAGGCCTTTATCATTTAAATATGATCAATGGACCATGTCAGTGTATCAAACATGCACATGTATGAACAATGGATTTCAACCAAAAAGGTATTTTGTATTGGTACAGTGTGGAAGTCGTTACCTTCTGTCATTTTATACAATGTGTGTGTGCTTTACTGTACATATATCATCAGGCCCCCTAAACCTACACAGTCCTATTTCTACGCACTCGCCTTTCAGTGAGTATGAACTCACCTTACAGCCGACGCACACGCTATTGAACAACCAGCGATCACTTGTAGCATTTGTCTGTGTTCAAAAGTTTTGCAAAAGACCCCAAAATGTTGGAAATTAATCCTGTAATCTTAGTTTATGTGTAAAAGAAATAAACGACCCTTTTTTCAGTGAATTTTCCTAGACACAAATACTATACTCTGTGTGGTGAGTCCCCCCTCCCAAAAAATTCAGAATTCTTCGTTTCATCTGACGGTTCACCCTCTATACTTTAAACATGTTACGTGATGCCATTAAAATTTGTTGACTCAATGAAGTGCTACAGGGGTGCAAACAGGACCCTTCGCTTATATTTGAAGTTTCAAAATTTGAATTTTTCGCTTATTTTGTCTAGTGAGTGAATATGAATAAAAAGTAGAGGTGGAACCATTTTTAGTGTTTGTTTTTCATTTTTCTTCCCAGAAGAGAGCTAGATTACTTGGGTTGACACTGGGTTGTACCATTTTCATGAATAAAAGTAATCAGCGGTGGAATGGGATATGTGCCAACCTGATTTACGTGGAAGGGCACAGACAAAAAAAATGATTTAATATACACTCAAAGAAAAAAACCTCATTTGGGTTAACATGATGCTTATTTTTACATACATGTACTTGCACATACGTGAATGTCAAATTTGCCAGAATTCTGTAAAGTAACTCCTTCTCTCCAAAGTGGGTACAAATCCATAATTACATACATACATAAATGTACAATAGGCCTACATGTACATGTACATGTATACCCATGTGAACATGTATTAAACTTGGCAGACAGTTTAGACTAGCCTACGTACATGTACGCTGTACTGTATGCAGCTAAACTCGGATACTGCTGTGTGCTGAATTCAACATCTGTTCAGACTTTAGCCTTTTTTTCAGCTGCAGGAATTTAATCAATAAAAATGGTGGTGCAAAGTGATAGCTTCGGCTGTGTATACATTCTTGTATATTATCTAATATTTATCTTGAACAGTTACTATGTCAGAGCAATGTTTAATACAAAAAGGTCATTGAAATTGGCATGGGCGATGGAACTTATTCAGTCTAGGCATTGATGAACAGTTAAAATTTCTTTTTTTCAAATACACATCATATAATGGGGTTTATGTGTAATAAGAATAATACATGTACATTTTTATAGCGACTTATGTAAAATACCCTAAAGCACCTCACAAGAGCAATATAAACCTAGATGATAAAATACATTATTTCAAAAACGAGAAACCAACGAAGATAAAGTTTAGAAATCAAGATAAGAACTTACATTGAGCATTCTGTTTGTTTAATAAAGATGTGAAATTGCACTTTATAGCCGATTTTAGTAAAGTGCTAGAGGTTAAATGCACATGTTCAATGAGCTCAACATTGGACACCAGTTTTTCATGTACTAATTCAGTACATGTAATAGTCTGTATGTGTATTGTATTAATGCACATCATGCTTTACAGTGATGTTCACTGACAGTGAAAAGCACACTGTGTACACAAAGCATTATTGTGTACATGTACAGTACATACATTTTGAAAGCTGTGTACATGTACATTAACAACACTTGTCTGGTTAGCATTTCACAAAATGGGTAGCTAATAATTTTGCTATTTTTCAAGGAAAATAAATCTTAGGAATACTTGGTCAGAATTTTGTTGGTTGGAAGCTCAGTAATTTCTGGGTTTTGTGCGCTGTGCTTTTTCATTGATATTTTCTTGTTCTTTCTTGCTTCAGAAATGCGTAGGTTTCCTTCAGCCGGAGTACAAGACATTCAGCATTGATCCAGAGATTACCACATTTGAGATGCTGCAGTTGCTTCTCATGCAAGCATTCCAGCTAAAAAGGTATTTTGACCAGTCTTGTCAAGACTTACAGCAGCAGGAACACATTTTTGGCCTTAGGTGCCAAAGGTTTGCTAAAGGACTAACCTCACTGATGAAATTCTGAGAGCAAAACAAAAGCATATTCTCCATTGAAACAGTCATTATGTTGGTTCCTGAAGCTTCTTACAAGCTGTTGGCCAAAGAACTTGGTGATTCATTTGGACTTTGAATACCATGTATGTACATGCACAACCAGTGGTAGTTTCAAAATCTACATGTATCCAACCATTTTTCCTGGAATCAGTTGGGAATCTTGCAAGGATCCAGTGAGTAGAGGACCGCAAAGGTTTATCCATTGTCCATTTTGTTTAGAGACAGTTTATTAGACAGAGTATTGTATTTATAATTATCAGACTTTTTGAAGAGAATAGTTGAGCCATTGAATATTTAGCGTGATTTATTTTCTTCTTTTGAACACATTTTGGAATTCAAAGATACAAGCATGCCAAAATTAAAATTTGTCCTACCTTTTTGCTTCAAAATATTGCTTTTGATAATTCTGGCATTATTCAGTCTTTTCATGTAACTTTGAATCAAACATAAATTATGCTGCAGCTCACATCCCTCACCCTTAAAAAACTACCAGACCATAAATTCAAAGAAATACGTGTACATATACATACATGTACGTACCGGTACATCATGGATTGGGCAATGTATATACTGTACTTGTATTTTGTTTGATGATAATCTCCAGCACTTATGGTTACCTTTGATCATGCATATTTAATTAGATGCTCTTCTTTCCCAAGCATTGCATTTACATGCAATGTAGTTCATGTCCTTGCATTGTAACCTAAAATATCTGATTACCATCAGACCTCAAGAAATGAGTCTCCAGTACACAATGTACATGAAGTTCCTTTTTTTTCTCTTGTGCAGTGTGAGAATCTTCCTAATTGAAGCTTTGTCTAAGTAACTTGGCTATGGCTTGAAATTACATGAGTCTGTGATTCTGGCTGCAGCTACAAGCCATAGCCAAGTACGGTAATTCAGACACATTTGTAACGCCGTCTATTCATTGCTGGAGCCACATTGGGGATACAAACAGATGCTTCTCAAATGATCCTGCACAATCAACAAGATATACTCAATATCTGTCACCCGCATACATGAACATGTACATGTATGTACATGTGATGCAGACTACATGTAACATGTACATGTAGTTTTCAGGAGGAGCCCAAACTCTCAATACAAATGATAAAAACAAAGAGATCTTCTTGCTCTGCTTAATGCAAACTGAAACAAAATTCCATACCTTTAAAGACCCATTTTGTGAGATCCAGTCACGTTTAAGAGTTAGTTAGTATGAAACAGGGCTTAACCTCATAGGAGCAAGTACTTTCACCCTAAAATGCTGACATGTTCAATCAACCAAAAGAGCAAGTTGGCTGCTGAGAAGTGTGGACATGTAAACATCATTCCACCAAGTACTGGAATGAAGTCACAGAGGGATGTGCCTTCATCCTGTCTTTGCTTCAGACTTGAGTTTTGGTGGGCAGAGTTCATTGGATTTGAGATCTTGTGATGTATTGACTACCAGTTTTTCATGGGTCATTTGAAAGTGGCCACTAGCAACTTTTCTCTTACATATTCCCGTATTTACATGTATGTATGCATATCTACCAGTATATGGGAGCTTCTTGGAAGTCTAATAGTGCATTTACCCACATGGTACCTCAAACTTCCAGCCCTCAGTCATTTTGCCATACAGGCATTATGGGAGTGAAATCAGTGACTGTTCCTTTATCTTTCTGTACTTCTTGTAAAAGCCTCTTCTTTAATAATACACGCAGTTGTGGCAACTTACATGAAATTGTCTCTTCTCAATTGTACTTTGTAGTGAGTTCACTATCAGCTATGCATCACGTGATGACCAGGCCAGGGAAGTATATCTATCCATGCTATCAGACTGGGACCTTGACTCCGCTATACTCACCTCCTCTGATCCTTGCTTAAGGCTGAAAGTTGATGCCAAACCATTCGATGGACCTGGTAAGCTGAATGGAGAATTAGGTTGTTAAAGAAACTGCCCAGTTGGCATGACTGGTTGTCATAGAAACGGCAGGCTGAATAAACGTTCTAGCAATAATTTGAAAATTTGGACCCATTGGTTGTAGGGCTGTGCTGAATATCCGAATATTTGATAGATCATCAAATACTTGAATCTTATTTTCCCAATTTGAATATTCAAATGCAAAATTTATAAAAAGGAAGGGAAAACTTTCTTTTGTTTTGAATGAGAGAAAAATGTACTATGGAGGCTTGTTTCAAGCAGATTGAAATGAAAAGGGACAGAAATCTTACAACGATTCAAACAGTAAATTATTCATTAAAAAACTTAAAAGGCATAGACATTTTCAACAGGGCAAGAAGTACTGTTCTTATCCTAAATCTTGCTAAATTGTGGCTGGAGATACTCCTAGATGTGAGAAGCTATTATAGTGATTATAATGTACAATTGTGTGTGTTATTGCAACTGATTTTGTAATGGTTTGTTCATCAACAATCTGCTGGTTGGTACGACCGCATATTCGAATATTCGATCGAATTGAAGGTTAAATATTCGAATAGTAAATTATTTGAATTGACTCAGCCCCAATTAGTAGATTCTTTTTTCCTTTTCGCTCTTTCAAACCTTCTAAAAGATAGCAAGATGAGTACAATTAGAAAAAAATTTACTCAATTTTCATTTTTGACTCCAATGTTGCAGTTGAGTCCATCACAAGTCTCTTCAGAAGTCTAATCACAAATCCTTTCATAAGACCAGTCACAAGTAGCCGGATGAACAAGGACAAAGGAATGCTTTAGTCACAGTTCATTTGACTAGCATGTGACTTGGATTCAGACAGGATGACTTTTGATGGACTTGGATGGGTGTGGTTGGACTCAACTACAGCACTGCTTGACTCGGCAGTTATATCCTTTCAAAAGAATTACAGATACTGTACATGTATGTAAATGAATTCTGTAGCTTTGTCATGCAGAAATGTTGAATTACTGCTGTTGCCTGTTCATTAGTAGTAGCTTATATGTGAATTGTTTTTGCATAGGGTTACTTGAAGACTGGGATGTCATTAGTGGCCAAGATGTATCTGGAAACAGCTCGGATCGCATGCGTTTTGTGCCATTTGTTGGTGCTATCATGGACAGCGTGGGCAAGACTCTCACCAGAGTCTCTCGGATCTTCCAGACGGTAGAGGGAGAAGAGGAAACCTATGAATTGCCTCGTTCACCTTTAGATGACCACGAGTTCTTCACATTTCTGGACCCTGTGGGACACTTAGAGAAGCCCCACGAACTGCGGCTGCGTGTGTACCAAGGCGGCATCAAGCCCTCGCTCAGAAAAGTAGTTTGGCGGCACTTGCTGAATATCTTCCCTGAGGGCTTGACGGGGAAAGAACGCCTGCAGCACATCAAGGCCAAATCCTTGGACTACCAGAAGCTGAAAAACAAGCTTTTCTCTGATCCCCGGGAGGACTTCAAGAACATCAAGAACATGGTGAGGAAGGACGTCCTGAGAACAGATCGGCTGGAAGAATTCTACGCAAATGGGGAAGAAAATGTTGAGAAGCTCTTCAACCTGTTAGCCACCTATGCTCTGTCGCACCCCGAGGTCTCTTATTGCCAAGGTATGAGTGACCTAGCCTCTCCTATCTTGTTTGTGATGGAGGATGAGGCTCAGGCTTACATCTGCTTCTGTCAGCTCATGAAGCGCTTAGCCTGTAACTTCCTCCCAGATGGGAAGGCCATGTCCGTCAAGTTCCTGCACCTGACAGAGTTAATCCGCTGTGTTGACCCAGACTTCTATGAGTACCTTAAGGAAGAGAATGCTGATGATCTATATTTCTGCTACCGATGGCTACTGCTGGAGCTCAAGCGAGAATTTGCCTTCACAGAGGCCCTTCGTATGAAGGAGATCATGTGGAGCTCTCTGCCGCCTGATCCTCCAGGAGAACAGGGGGTGGAATTGGCATCAGCCTCCGATGCCTCCCCATCAGCATTTGCCGCTGAAAGGCTCCGTTTCCGTTTCTCTCGTGGACGCAGTGTTTCCAAAGAGAGCATCGCCAGCATTGGTAAACCAGACAGCCCTCATTCTAACAGGAAATCCGCTGAGAAAACTGACATTACAGAAAAGGTGGATGAATGTGATGAAAGCAAAACGGTTGATGTAAGTACTACTGACAATTCCAAACATACTGTGCAAGACTCCAGTACAAACAACTCCACTCGCACCTCCTCAAAGAGAAGTGAAACTCCCATAAAGCGTAGTTACTCATCGACAGTGGACACTACGGGTAACAACACAAATGGTAAGGAAAATTCCACCCAAAATGTGAATCCCAGATCAATGTCAATCAGTGAGCGACAGAGCCCCCCATCCAACTTAAATATCCAACAGAAGACGCTGGCCAAATCCCAGAGCAGCCCCATCCTCTCTCAGAAGGGGGTCAAAGGTCAACAGCGGAAGTCCTCGCCCAAGAGTCCATCCAAGTTGCCCTCCAGTCCGGTCCGTAACCCCTACCGAGGCCTTCCCCCACCCCAGGACTTTGGAGGGGGTAACCCCTTTGTTATGTTTCTGTGCCTGGCGATGTTGATAGACCAGCGCAATGTGGTGATGGCTCACAAATTGGACTACAATGACATGGCCATGCTGTTTGACAGCATGGTACGTAAGCACAGCCTAGGGAAGATTTTGAACCATGCCAGGTTGATGTATTCAGAGTACCTGCAATCAGAGGCCTCCAAAGTAGACCCAGCCAAGGCGGGTTTAGAAGATAGTACGGATCTCCTCAATATGAATGGAAGACCAGTTGTACCAGCTGACTCCATGTAGCTTTCAAAACTAGTCACTACGGGACAAGCTTTGTTCGGTGCGCTCAATAAGTATGATATTATCCTACATGTACAATGTACATCTTGTGTACAGGACCCACATGTACAATGTACATCTCGTGTACAGGTACATGTACATTGTACAATGTATCTTTTATGTTTAAGATAACAGTATGATGACATTACATGTACATGCATGTACAGTATGTATATCAATACTTACTTGTGTAGTTTGAGTTACAACTCATGATTGGATCGGGGAAATAACTGTACAAAACTTGGCATCTTGTCAACGACTGTATTTACAATAATTTATCATATACATGTACATATGAGTTGCTTTATCTGCTGCTTTTTATGAAGTGATGATGAATCATGTGTTGCGTGTAAAAAACTGTGGAGCTTTATGAAATGACCCAAAGGAAACTTTCTGTAAACTGATGCTTCTTACGTTGGATAATTGCCTCTTAAAAAAAAAAACCTTGTTGGCGAAATGTTTCCTGTGAGCTTTCTAGTGAAAGGGATTTTTCTTTGAAACCTGAAGTCAATTCAATTTATGTATGCTTTGATCAGCAAACCAGTACATGTTCCTATACCTCATACTTTGTACATACCTTTCCTTTGTGTCAGTCGCTTTTTGACAATGTGCATGCGCAAAACAGTAATGGTTGAACGTATGTCTCTTGGTGAGCTACTTTGTAATATCCTCATCACGCTGTTTTACTTTTGACTGCAACTCTTGTGACACAGTAAGTGGTCAGTGATATCTTGAACCATTGTTTTCATGTGAATGGTTCCCTCCATATTGATAAATGAAATTGGTTATTGATAACCAGTGGTGTGACCGTGCATCAGGTCCTGGTTCCAAATGGTTGACTCGATGGTCCAAACCATCCACTGTTCAGGTGGTATTGGTCAAAACATAGTGGTCACTCAAACTTGTTCTAACATGTTCACACATCTTTGTTCCATGTACCACAGCTCTGACTGGTGTGGGGACATACATTCATCATTACACCGATTTTGTGGGACCAGAAATGATGTATCTCCACAACTCAGTCCTAATTTGCCTTAAAATAAGAAATTATCCCTTCTGCATAGTGAAGGTCTGTCCATTTAACTCTGTTGGTGCATAATATACACTCACGTGTATCCTCGTGTGCAAATAATGGGTGCAGAGGTTGATAAGCGATTCATGTATTCAACAGTGTTTAAGGTTCGTCTTGTCTGCTAATTATTACATTTATGTGGTATTTTTAATGGGAATTTCATTTTTGTTTGCAGAGTACTTACTCATTTGGGCGATAAATAGCGTTATGTCCTGAATATCTGTATTTCAACAGCTGTTATTTGTTACGTTTGTGATGTTCATTAACTTCATTGTTGGAACAATATTGTGCCTCTTTCATCTTGCCTGTTTATGTATCATAGATACAGTACACATGGATTGAAAGGTGTTGCATGACATATCTATAAAAAACACGTGACACCTTTTTTTGTGTACTTATGCACTTGTGTCTAAATTTGTACCATAAATGAATAGAAATTGGTATGGTACAAATGCATCTACACATGTACATTGCTACATTTCCATATTGTTTGTGTATGAACACTTTCTTATGGTAGCACTTTTCTTTGCGCTCAGACCTGATAACTGTGTTTTTAAACACATTTTGCCCAACCTTGATTGGACTTCAGGTTTGTTGGAGGTATTCTCTAAAAGAACAAAAATCTTACAGGCTTAATGATATGTTCAGGAATATACTGGTAATATACTTTTAACTATTTATCAAATTTTGGTGACAAAGGTATTCATGTACAGGCCGAATTTGATTTGTGGTAAAGTCATTAACTTAATGTCCATTGAAACTGTTCAACATGTGTATAATGTACATGTACATGTGTGTACGCACCTATCTTTTAGTCCCAGTCTAATAATATGTTGTTAAACGATTATTTTTTATACTTCTTTGTCCTCTGTTGAATTTTTGTTGAATCCTCTTGGATGCTTGATTTGTAGTTGATTGGATGTTGTATCTATCAAGCTTCATGATTTACATGTACATGTACTCCTGTACAGTTGATAGATATACACAGTAGCAAGTCGGGATTTACAGTTGATGGATTCTGTTGGATTTACCATTGATGGATTCCATTGGATTCAGCAGTTCTAGCCAGATCCTGGTTTCATCCATTAAGCCCAATTATTTCAATATTTGTGTTTATGCTTTGGTTAAAGTGCACAGATATGCTGCATGCTGTGTCTATTTGTTTTCATGTGAACAACTGAATGTATGAAGCAGTGCAGGAAAAAGATTTGTTTGAATTTTAGAAAGTGGCAATTTATTCAAAATTGAATGGATCTGAACTCAGGTAACAAGTTAGTAAATGATGTGTTTTGCTAACCTTGTCAAGCATGGATTTATTTTGGATTTATACAGATTATCGGATGTGGATTATTACATGTATATGGGTGAGACACAGTGGCTTAACTCCTTCTTGTAGAATTAAATGGAGCTGGGATGAAAGGTGAATGGAAGCTAGTGATGGGTTCTGAAAGTGAGCAGTTCTATTCATCGTTGTCACTCGTACTGTGAAGTCATGAAGTCCAGCTGAGATAATACATGTACATGTATGTAAAAATTGCTTGACTGTGTCCAATGTTCGTGGCTGTGGCTTTTACATGTACACGAGACTATGAGGTAGCTGTAGCCACTACCCTTAAAGCTGTTGGTTAGTTCAAACTTCAACCAAGTAATTCTGGCTTGTTGGCCTGATTCAGAGAAAAGAATACAATGAAGCCATTCATCAATATGTGAAAGAGTACGAAGTTGAATAAGATTAAAAGCAGGAAAATCTCTGCACGGTTCGCTTTACATTTTCATGCCATATCTGATTTTGCAAGAACCGGACCACAATTTTCAAACTCTGTCACAGAGATCTTTCTGAAATCAAGGAATTTGCCACAGCTAGACTTCTTCATCCTGATCTTCTGTTGCCTTGTCTGCCTGTGTTTATTTCAAGGCTGGCTCCTCAACTCACTAGAAAGGCACTATGACTATTGAAAACTGCTCAAGTCATCTGAATGCTTATTAGTTATAAAGTACATGGAACATAATGTGTAGTTGCAATACTGAAATGTAGATGTATACAGGTGAAGCTCCCTAACTTGGATGTGTTTTCTGCCAACTTTTTGTTGTGTTGACATAAGCCAATGTCTGCTAATTGGTATTCTTTGCAATAACAGTTCATTTTGGTTAGTTTCAGGGCCAGAGGTTTACTAATTAAGCTTATTCTTGTAAGTTATTGCATATCTAAGTGTATGGAGTTTATTTATTTTTCAATTAAAAGATATTATACACATGTACATGTATGCATAAAGTGAATTTCATTGTTTGGAATCTGTGAACTGGAGCTACGTTGAGAAGCATTAATGCCATCTTGTATTGTTAACTTGTTCCTGCTTGTTAAGGTTCAACAGTACAAAAATGAAATGAAATATACAGCTAAAAGTGTTTCCCCATATATTATATTAACGTGGGCATTTGGTATTACTAATCTTTTGTGGCTGTTAGTGGTAAGATGAAATAATTTGGTCTAAAATGTCTAATCAGTGCATGCTGAACTTATTTTTGAGTGCAGATTTCAACGTTATAAATAGCAGCCCTTAATTTGAGAACACCTCTCCAGGGATACCATTGGAAAAATCATTATTTTTGAAACCCCCCAAATTGCTGTTGCCTTTGGGGGACATGACCTCATTGGCACCCCCCCCGATCCACAAGATACATAAAAATTAGTTGTGCGAGTATGTGATATGTGCATGAACAAGCATGTAGAAATAGTGTCAAGCAAGCCGGACATCAGTGCTAGGAAAGCGCCCTCTCTTGGTCACAAATGGAGTCCTTCATGTGAAAAACATGGTTGACTGTCAGTTGTATTCATCGAAGTTGCCCAATGTCAGATTGTGTGCTATTCAAATGAACTGAGACAAGTGTATTGCTTGACTTGTGCTGAATTACTCTGCAACTCTTAAAAATTCTTGAACTCCTGTTAAAGTGTAAATACATGCATTTCATATTTTAAGAGACGGGAGAAGTTAGGTCTGTGTTTATTTCCCTGGTCCATATTTGCATAAGTTTACTCTTATCTTATGTTGAGGTACTGAAAAAACCAGTAAGGTTCTGTAAATTAATAATTGTTGAAAATGTTTATGGACTAAATGATTTCAAGGATATAACAATCATGCATTTGGTAATTTGGTTTCACGATCAATCATCCCCAAAACATAACATTTCTAGGAGCAATTTGGCCAATTTTCATGCATGGCCTGGGTCAACATGACTATATTTATGTGATGTGCCATTGCTTGTATCTTGTTCAACAGTATTTACATAATATAATGTATCTAAATAATGAATCTCAAGAAATAATACTTCTGCAGTTTGCTTGCATTTTGTGAAAGAACTTATATCTTCTGTGGTGTTTGTTCGTTTGCATTTTAACACTTATGAAACCAGGATGATGATCTTGCATAGTACCTCCTTTAAAGGATGCACAGATTTGAGGTTGCTGAAAGTGAAGAGTTGGATTTATGACAAGAGAATGGAAGAAAATGGGGCATCATACAGGACAGACTTTTACAAAGTGGGTTGCCAGTTCAAGAGAAAAGAACACTTATTACTGACAAAGCTTGGTAGAAGCCAGAGATAAAGGGTTGCAAGGCCTGACATTTTGGTTTATGCAACCCTCTCCTTCACTGACTTAAAAAAAAATTCTGTCCCGAACTTTGAGTAAAAGCACACTAACATGCTAACTACATGTACTAGGAAGAGGATATTGAGGTCTTAAAAATCACTTTTATAAAAATAACTTCCCAGATGTGTTACCTTTTGTGTACTAGTCAAATCCATCATGAGTCATTAAGTCTCAATCCAACTCGCAAGTCATTTAAATGAACTGTGACAAAAACATTCCTGTTCACCCTGTAACTCATGAGTAGTCCTGTTAAGGGACATATGAAAGGATTTATGATGGACTCAACTCCAACACCATCCCCCTTGGGGGTAGAAAAAATCATGTACTAATTGTTGATTCCTGGGTCAAATATGCAGTCATACCAAGAAACACTTCATCAGCAATTACATGTATATTCAAATTTCTGAAGTCCATTTTATTGCATTTAACAAACTTACATTCTACAGAAGGGAAACATTAATACACAGTGAGGGAGTTGAACAATCAACTTTGTTTATGCAACAATTGCTAAATTTCCTTGCTTCCCAACATTTCCATCACCTTTACCTTTTTTAAAAAACTTGCTTTTCAATGGCAATGCTAACAAATTGAATTTTTAAATAAAAAAGACTTCATAGCCAAGATGTATATCACAACCATTCAAAAAACCTATACATGAAGTAACATGTGAGTGACCCATACTTCAAGAGAATTGAATATTGACAGTAAAATCAAATATTTCCAAACACATGTGACTTTAGTTTTAAAAGAAAGTGTCACAGATCGTCTTAGGTGGTAAGTGTGAGAGCAATGGCCACCATGAAACTTAATGCTTCAATCATTTCAAAACTTGAGGATTGGGGAAGTGCTGCACGATGGAGATATTTACACTGCCTAAAGTTCAGTGCATTTATATTTGTTCTGTACATTTCATTAAGTATCTAATCGTTACATTGTACAACACAATGGTGAATTCTATTTCAACCCCAACTCAGCACAAAGTGCAGTGTAAACACAGCAACAAGAATGCCAGTTATTATTTTAAATGGCACATGCACATCTTATTGCTACCTGTTCAAAGTTGCTTTATAACAATCTCAATCAGTTACGCTGAAGCATAACGTTTAAAAACAATTCTGAATGTGAGGACATAAATGCCAACTTTTGGTCTCAAGGAAGACTTACGCCATTTACATACATGTACTGCTTGAAATTAGAGGTACTGCACCTCAAGAAATCGGCATTATTACTAAAAACTTTGAAGGATAAAGCAGACAGGAAAACAATCACTTAGGTCTAAAGCAGAGTTCCTGAATTGTGCTGAGTGAGGCAGAAATGGGATTTTATAAGTAAATAAACAGGTGTGCGTTATCATCAGACTATGCTCTGGTCCTCTGCAGTGTTCAGACCTTTATTACGGTACATGCCACAGGTGAGAAGATGCTGTGGAGATAACAAAAGACAAAAGGACCAAAATCAAATTCAGTGCAAATTTGAGGGGTAGTTACTTCAGAATGAGGGATGGAACTTTTATTGCAGAGTCGACAGCATAACAATTTTTTTTTGTAGCTGTGGCAAATTTTGAAAATTATTTGAGATCCTGAAACCTATGGGGGATGACATCAAATTAAAGATAAATTTTAAGGTGGCATTAAAAAAATTGAAATGTTGGAAGTTTATGCTTTTTTCTATTTTTTCCATGAGGGGTAGCTGAAAAATGATCTCATTCTTGGAGAGCCAGTCGCTGGTTACTTGGTTACCAATTTGCCAATCTAACTTTGTGACAGTCACTTACCACTGAGAATTTCTGTGATCTTGCCCTGAAGGTTGTTGGCATTGTATGTACTGTTGGGTTACGACTGCCGTAAGTCATGTTAGTTGTTCTGTACAAGGGATTCTGAGGTTGGCTGCCGTATCCCTCAAACCAATCTGTCCAGGAGAGGTAACCCAAAGATTCAACAAGTCACATTTATTGCATGGAAATGGACAGAGGGAAATAAGAGTGTTATGTACATGTGGTGAGCCTAGGATTCAAACGATACTGTGCAAAGC